TGCCACTGTGCTTCCCAAGCGGCGCACTGTAGCAGTGTGCCACCGGGCCAGCCCCACACTTAATTATTTTAAAGCCACTTTGAGTTGATGTTCTGTTACTTACAGCTCCATGCATGATGCATGGATGATGGTGAGCTGCTTGGGGTGGTGTTCTAGCTGCTAATAAATAGTGTTCTGTGGGTTCCATTTTTTCTATTTATAGGTAGCACCTGCTCTCCCTGGGGGTTCGGGGTTGTGAGTGAGTTCTTGCTCTATTAGTTCCCGCAAGAGCTGGTTGTTAAAAAGGAGCCTGGCACCTTCTCTCTCTCTTTCTCTCCCCATGTGATTTGCTTGTACCTCCTCATGCCTACCGCTTTCCGCCATGAGTAGAAACAACCTGAGGCCTGCACCAGATGCAGCTGTCCCAGAATCATAAGCCAAATAAATCTCTTTCCTTATAAATTACCCAGTCTCAGGTATTCTGTTATAGCAACACAAAAACAGACAAATACAATCCCCCCCAAATTAAACCACACTGGCAGCAGTGTCTTTTCCTGGAGCTTTAGAAATTTTGAACACCAGCCCCTTGGATTCCCTTTAACGGTTTATACCAGAACCTTTGGCATCTCCAAGTGTGTTGGTTAAAAATAATGGGGAAAACATCAGCAGCGGTGGAGGCACCGATTTGGAATCTCCATGAATCTCCACTTAAAAACAGAGCAACTAGATAATAAAACCAAAATCACATTGTAAAAGTTTACAACAAAATTAGGCGATATGGTATGCCCATGAAGCCCCAAATACAAACCAAGTAAGAACAAACTACCAACAGCCCCCAAAGACTCGCATGGAGTCAGCAACCTGCAGGAAAAATAAGGCAGCAATAGACCTGAGAACAGTTATTCACTGGGAAATAGGGCAGGTCAGTTAAGAACAGTGAGTAGAAAGGAAGAGGCGTTTGTCTCATTCCAGGGGTAGATAAGTGCATGGGGTCGGCCATAAGCAGGGAGAATACACTGTGAGACAACACTAAAATATGGCACACGGTTTACAAAACTGCAGATACAGATAGATATGGAGACTGGGGAAGAGAGTGGAGCATCTGGCTGCTCTGGGCAATCAAAACCCTGGCAGGCAGGGAAGAATCCCTGTCCCTCTCCTGCCGCTGGGCTGCTCCTTGGTTTCTCACACTAAGGGGGAAGGTCCCACAGGGCTGTGTTGGAGTCTCCTTCATCAGGCTGCCTCGTCCTAGAAATCCCTAGGTCAGAGGCCTTAGAGACCTGGGCTCCATCCATGGCTGTCTGAAACCTCCAGCAAACCATTTCGCTTCTCTGAGTCTCAGTATCATCTGCAAAATGGGACCGATTTTGATGAGGACTGTCCTGCTTAGCTCAAGAGACTTTGAGTCTGATCAAGAGACAAGGGAGGCTGGTGGGTTAGCTCAGTGGGTTAGAGCGTGGTGCTGATAACACCAGCGTCCAGAGTTCGATCCCTGTGTTTGCCAGCAGCCAAAAAAAGGAAACGGAAAAAAAAGAGAGAGAGAAACAATAGGTGTGAAAGCGAGGGGTTCCCCACGAGCACTTCTCACGCTCCTTTGCTGCTATGGGATCTTAGACAAAGGGGCAGCTTCTCTCAGCCTTGGTTTTCCTCGCCTGTAACAATGGCAACAGTAATCGTATTCCGCATGACAGAGTTGCTGTCAGAATGAAATGAAGTGACACAGGAAAAGTATTTAGCTCAGGACCAGACCCATCGGGGAAGCTCATAAACGTTACAAGTGCGGTCTCCGAGAGTTAAGCTTCTATTGTGAAGATTGCTGAGTTTTTTTATGCTCTTCCCTCCAGAAAACGCCAGAGGGCGACATAGACGGTGGGACCCCAGCCAGGTGCACGCCTGAAGCAGCGCCATCGTCGGCCACGCGGTGGCGCTCAGCCACCTAATGGCTGGTTTTCCGCAGACTTTGAGGAGCGGAGTTGACGGAGGCAGAGAGGAGAAGAGGGTCAGGGGGAGCCCTGGGAGCCAGGGAGCCCTGAACCAGAGGATCGGAGATCTCTGGGCCGAGTAGCTCCCGGGTTCCCGGGACACAACAGGGTCAGCTGGGAATGAATGGGTCCTGGGGCTTTTTGAATAGGAGGGCGCCCCTGCCCCGTAGCACCGGGTCTGCAGCCCGTTCCCCAGGGCGGCCGCGGTGCCGCGACGCCTGACGGCGGGAGCGCGCATCCCTGCGCCCTGCTCTCCCGGCTGCAGAGCTCATTCACCGCGGCCGCGGCACGCCGTTGCCATGGACACGCGAGGCGGGCGGGAGGCCCCGGGTGACGTGTGAGCTCCTCGCAGCTCGTCTCCCGTGGCCTCCCAATTCTTGCCTATTTTGGAAGAGAGCCGCAGCCCTTCTGCTGATGCGCGCGCGCTGGCGCCTTTTAAAGGCAACCGGCCGAGTGGCGGCTCCGCCAGAGCCCGAGCGCTGCCCCCGCCCCCAGCCGCGAGCCCCGCGCGGGGCCTGGGCCCGGGAAGCCCCGCGCCGTACGCCCCATCCCCCCACCCCATCGTTGCCCCTTCCACCCACTTTGGGGACATTTCAACCTTGGAGAAAGGAGGTCTTGTCCTTCCCCTCGCCCCCTCACCCCCCAACAGGGGAGACTCTTCTGTACAAAGCTTGGAAGGAAACAAGATGCCAGGCCTAGCGCGTTTGGGGATCCTCTCTGGACAAGACCACAGAGTGAAAACACCAGGTGAGGACTTCACTGCCCTCGGGGCCACCCTGGGACCCCGGAGACCCACGCCTCCTTTCAGCCCCCTGCCTTAACCTTTTTCTCCCGGGGCTCAGCGTGGAGCCAGATTAGGACCCCAGGAAAGCCCCTTACCAGTTGCTCCAACTCCCTTATTAAAATGAAAGGGAAACTGAGGCCCAGAGAAGAGTAGTGATTGACCAGGGTCACATGGCAAGTTCCTGGAAGAGCATGAGCCGAGCCCAAGGATGCTGACTTCTTGGCCAGAGGTCAGTCCCCTGTTCCTTAAGGTTGAGTATAGCAGGCACAGTGTGCCAGTATCGGGTCCCTGCCCTGCACCCTGCCGAGGTGGCACCCCGCCATCTCGCCATGGCACCAGCTGCCTCTTCTTCCCCAGCACTTAGGTGGGCTTCCTGGATCAATGGTCACTCTGGACAAGCCCCTGGATCCCATGGTCTCTGTGACCAACCAGCCAAATTGCTGCTTGCAAACATCTGCTTCCATTGAAGGCTTCCTGCAGCCCACCAGCTCTCTGGAACTTTCTGGAGCCAAACCTTTCCCAGACTGCCTAAAAGTGCCAGTTGGCTTCTGGATGGAGGTGTGGCCTGCCACGTTGTGGCAGGGCCCCCAGAGCCATGTGGACCCAGCCCTTTCTTTGGACACCACTGCCCAGTGCTGATGACACGTGCACTCTCCTTGCAGCACCCACTGCAGATGTCTGACCAGGACCCACAGGAGACGGCTGTGAAGTACTTGACCATTCCCAAGGGGCTGTGTAGGTTCCAGACATTTCTGGGCCGCTACGCTTGATCAGGTTTGGGGACCCAGAGGTGAATCCGATCCAGCCCAGCATTTGTGGGATCCGAGTCTAGCAAAGAAGAGAGGTTCGTGCTCTGGGACAGTTAGCCCTGGAGCCTTGAATGGTGCTTACAAGGGGCATCTGTTGCCAAGGCCAAGACTTCAGTGCACAGAAGTGGAAACTGAGGCAGTCATCAGCGAGATGTGATTTGCCAAGGTCACACAGCAAGTCAGTGTGTTGCCAAGACTAGGACCCAGACCCCGCCTCCTGGCCCAGGCTCTTTCTCCACATCTTGATCCCAGGGCCAGCCTTTGAGAGGCATGCAAGGTCACTGCACTGTGAGCCAAGGGCTTGGCTCAGGGCCACCTCCACTAAGTGTTGACTGTGTCACCTGAGTCACTCCATTCTCTGCACTTAGCCTCAGTCACCCAAGAAGGATGATCTCTAAGGGGCCCCTCCTCCAATTGTGAATCTGAGATTCTATGAATTGGGTATTTTGGCCAGGCTGTGAGGTCCCCTGTGGCTGGCTGTGGGATACTGCTTGAGGGGGTTTTCTTCCTCCCATCAGCCTGAAGCTAAGGAATGCTGGAGACAGTAGTTGCTTCAGCCTCGGGCTGTGTGGACCACTGAGGATGGCCTGGGGGTCTGTTTTGTGCACCTTGGAACCCATCGGATGCCTCCAACGGTGAGTCCCCTCATGTACTTAGCACTGATCTGTAAGAATGGCCCCTGACGGGTTGGGTTGAGGAAGAAAATCTACAGGGTCATTATCAGTACTTGCTTCCCCCCAAGTTCATACAACCCAGGTCTCCAGGGTCCCAAGGTGGCCTGACCCATGCACAGCCAAGGACTTGGTCCTCTGGGAGACTTCATGCCCACTTGGACCCTAGCACTGGACAATGGGCTCATCCCTACCTGAAACTGGGTCTCAGGGTTGCAGCATTCAACTCCCAAAGACTGAGAGGTACTGGCCCAGCTGGGACCTGGGCCCAGAGATGCTCAGAGTGCTGGAGATGGGGGGGGGGGCCTTTGAGGCCAAGTGGTTCAACCCACTGCCATTTTGCAAATAGGGAAACTGAGGCCCAGAGAGGAAAAGGGGCTTGCATACCCCGTCCCCCCACAGCAGGCTGATGGCAGGGCTAGGACTAGAATCCATGCCTCCAGATCCTCCTGTCCAGGACCTTCCCTGCCTCAAGCATAACCCACTGACATCTAGACTGCGCTCACCTCCTCTCCTTCCCAGATCTTTGACTCCATAAAAAGGGTCCTCCTGCTCACCCCCCATCTGGCCTGGGAGAGTCAGGAGCTTTCCCTTCAACCAGATGGTCCTTTCCACGAAAGCTTCCTGGCGTCACCTCCCCCCACCACCAAGGGCTTATCCTTTCCTGGTTCCAGAAGCTCCATCAACAGGCCTTTACTGGGCTGGCCCGTGGCTCACTCGGGAGAGTGTGGTGCTGATAACACCAAGGCCACGGGTTTGGATCCTATATAGGGATGGCCGGTTTGCTCACTGGCTGAGCGTGGTGCTGACAACACCAAGTCAGGGGTTAAGATCCCCTTACCGGTCATCTTTTTTTTAAATAAAAACAAAAACAGGCCTTTACTGCTGCTCCCACCTTCTTGCCATAGTTCAACCAGCTCCCTGCGGTTCCAGCATTCCCAGGGGTGGAGAACATCATTCTTCCTGCTCTTGGGGGTCTCTTCTTGGATGCTCCTAGGGCTCCCCTAATGTCACCAGCCTAGTCCCAAGACTACTGCTTGCCTCTGATCACCCGAGCCTTAAACCCTGCCAGTCTGTCCTGGCGTCCCATGGGCCATTCCCTGCAGACTCCTTCTCTGCTGGTCCGGGGCCAGTGGGAATCACAAAAGCCCACACGTCGGGTGGCTGTGAGGCTGTAGAGTTACTCCACCAGGTCTATAGGTGCAGACGAGCACTGCATCTGTAGACACTTATGTTACACGGTGCACTCAGATGACAACAGGAGAGGCTTGAAGCTGGAGCCTGTGGTGGCCCGGGCCCCTGTGGATAGAAGGGAAGAGGAGGCACTGGCCAGGAGACGTTTTTGGTAATGGGAAGTAATGGGAGCCATGAGAGTTTTAAGCTGGGGAAGAACATAGTTAGGTTGGTTTCTAGAAAAACAGTGGGGGGAGCTCAGTTGCTGCGCACTGGAAAGGCGCATCGAGCCTGGCCCGGGCTCTGTCCCTGGACTCCGTGAACGCATGGGAGGCAGCTGAGACCTGAGCTGGAGCCCCCGGGATCACTTCGTGTGTGCCCCTGCACTTCCCCAGGCCCGCACACCATCTGTGTCCTTCTTTTTGGAACTGCTGAGCCCCCAGCCTGGCCTCCTCCATTTGGGTCGAGCCTGGCCCGGGCTCTGTCCCTGGACTCCGTGAACGCGTGGGAGGCAGCTGAGACCTGAGCTGGAGCCCCCGGGATCACTTCGTGTGTGCCCCTGCACTTCCCCAGGCCCCCACACCATCTGTGTCCTTCTTTTTGGAACTGCTGAGCCCCCAGCCTGGCCTCCTCCATTTGGGGCTCTCAGACCAAGCCCGGGCCAAAGCTGCAAAAAGCCAGAGGGCAGGTGCCGAGGCTGTTCCACACTGGCAGCACTGAGACATGTGCTACCTCCCAAATCAGCCCCTGCCATCTCTGCATAGTCTAGTTCAAAATCATATTGCTCATAAAGTTAATATAATAACGACTAACAGTCTGTCATTGAACGTTTACTGGGCTGCTTTTATGCGTCAAGCATTGTTCTGAGTGCTTTAATGACCTGATTCATTTACTGTTCACATCGATCCCTTGATGTAAGAGCTCTTATGCTCCTCATATCTCTATTAACAGATGGGTAAACCGAGGCACGAGTGGATAAGTCACTTGACTGATTAACATCACAAAGTCAGCCTGTGCAGCAGGCAGGACCTGGCCCAGGGCCTCCCTCCTGCCCGCACCCCAGCCGGCCTCTCCGTGCAGACCAGCTGCTCCCCTGCCTCATGGCGGCCCTTTGAATATCCAAAGACGTCAAACCACCCCCTCGAAGCCTTCTCTTCTTGAGTGCAATATCTCCATTCCTTCCATCTTTTTTCTTACAAATATTTATGGAGCGCCTTTCTCCATACTGTAGAGTTGACAATGAGTAAAGCAGACACAGTCCCTGCCACAGTCCCCGCCACAGTGGCTGCACTCTAGGGGAACAGAGATCCCCAGAATAAAGCATAAAATTGCTGTCTTGACAAGTGCTACTAGAGGCACAGAATGTCTGGGAACGTATGTTTGGAGATTTGACTAATTGGGAAGGTCAGGGAAGGCTTCCTGGAGGAGGTGACATTTGAGCTGAGATATCAGGGAAAAGGGGATCAATGAGGCAAAGGGGAGAGGCAAGGGTGCCCCGGGAGAGGGGCAGTGTGTGCAGAGGCCCCGTGGAGGACAGGAGAAAGGCAGGGCGGGGGCTGGAGGAAGGTACATAAAGCTGAAGAGAGGGGAGGGGCCGCCGGAGGCCGGCCAGGGAAGGTCTGGGTCACTCTTTACCTTCCTGGCAGGGGTGGCCCCTCCCCCGGCCCCTCTGCCCCAGGCTTCATCTCAGGCCCAGCCACAGTGCAACGGGTCCATGTGGGGCTCAGCCCCTTGGCGGCAGTGGCCGTCCCTTCACCTTCCCTCTGAGCACCTGTTTGCCCAGGCTTGGCTGCAGTGGTGTCTTTGGTGGCTCCCCATCCGCGGGTAGAGTCTTGTTTATGAGGCCACACTCATTGGCCCACCCACCTAGCACAGCCCGACCAGCTGGTCACTTGCCACCCAGCAACTCAGTTCAAACACACCTCCCCAGGGAGGCTGTTGCCGACTCCCTGGGCCAGGTCACTCCTCATTTTGTTCCTGCCGAACACCCTGTCTGCCTTGCTCACAACTGTCCCCCACCTAAGTGGCTTGGTGGGGGTCTCCCTCTCTCACTAGCCTGGCAGCTCCCTGTGGCCAAGACAGCCTTGTCCCCACAGCATCATGTTGCACAGGGACTGGTGTAGACTCGGCTCTCAGCTGTGGCTGCCTGAAGGGGCCTGAGCCCCTGCTCTGTGCCAGGCCCCGAGCTGGATGCTGGGAAGGTGGAGACCAGACATAGGTGCTGGTGGGGGAGACAGACAGGTAAACAAGTGGTGACAATACAGGACGAGAAGTGCAGTGGGACACCCAGGGGGCTGTAGGGGCACTGGGGGCACCCGGCCCATGGGAGCAGCCATAGGCCAAGGAAAATTCACCAGCTGGGGAGTGGTGGTGAAGAGGACTCTGGAAATGAATGCGTGGAGGGTCTGTCTCCTCTTCCAGACCCGCAGCTCCTTAAGGGCAAGGCCCATGTCCTACACTCCTGCCTCTCTGTGGTCTTAGGAGGGGTGTTGGGTACCTGTTCTTCATTCAAAGTGTTTTCCTTCCCTCCCGGAATATGGCTGGTCTGACATGCTCCTCGCATTCCCGTGTCTTCTTTCAGCCCTGCCTTCAGACCCTTACCCAGAAAAGCTTCATCTTGTCCCACCTGGGCTTCACTGTCCCCCTTCTATCCCCTCCATGGTTCTGTGTCCCTCAATTTCCCTGCTCAGCCCACTCACTCAGCTCTGACCGTCTCAATGCGTGGGCACCAGCGTTTACCTTCTTCACATGAGATTTGTTGATTTCATAACCATAAATAGATAAAATGTTCTGAATGCTTCCATGTGCAAGTAGAATTGCGGGAGCGACAGCATAATGAAAAGGCCTTAGGAGGAAGAAAACAGGCTGCTAAGATGAAGCTGAAAACAACACGGCCATTGCACAAACCAGCTCTCTTGCAGAGGAGTCTATTTTCACTGCACAGACATAGACACAGGACTGGGGAGGTATTTGGGAATGTGCTAAAAAACCTTTACGTAGTTTCAAGCACATCAATTCAAAAGAACAATCAAGTAAGAAATAGAAAGAAGTAGAAGCCAGGAAACCTGGGTTCTAATTCTGGATTTATCTCATTCTAGCTGTGTGCCCTGGGCAAGTTACTCCACCTGTCTGAGAAAGTGTACAGAGACTCTTCCCGTGGGTTGGGCTGGAGGTTTCAAGAGGCCTGAGATCCTACAATACCCTCATTTTCCTGTCATAAGGAAATTTGGTCTTCCTGACAATATCTTAATCACCAATCACGGGACACCCCCCTTCCCAAAATGCAGTCCTGGGGGCTGGGGTTGGAATGGATGGATTGAGGGATCTTGCCCCTTCATTGCCTGTTGCAACTCATGTTGCCATGGAAACAGGATGTGGAGCATCACTCCTGCATGGGGAGGCTACACCCACACAGCTGTAAAGGAGGCTAGAAGCTGGTAAGGAACGTGGCCCATAGGGCTTCCCAATCTCTTCTCCCTTAAGGTGCACAGGAACCTGAAGGGACTGGCTCTGTGGCATTTGGAAGAGTAAAGGGATGTGAAATGACAGCTTGGTGTGACCTGGACCCAGAGGGTTTTCTGGGTGAGAAAGAAACAAGTGAAGATCTTCTTAGTGTGAACGCTTCCTCTACCGTAAGGATGACTAACCTTTTCTGTAAAGGGCCAGTTTAAGTTTTTAGGCTTTGTGGGTGATGTGGTCTCTGATGCAACTACTCAACTCTGCCATTGTAGTGTGAAACTAGCCATAGAGACTAAGTAAATTGATGGATGTGGCTATGTTCCAATAAAACTTTATTTACAAAAAGAGGCAGGAGGCCAGATTTGGCACCCAGGCCAGTTTGTAGACCTCTGCTCTTCCACATGGTGCAAGAGAACAAGCCTAGTCTGGGAGGCAGGAGCTAGGCTTAAGGCTCAGCATTGCCAGTGACTTGTTGCATGACTTTGATTAAACCATTGTCTTATCTCTGAGCCTTAGTGTCATCATCTATCAAACGAACATAGTGATAGTCAGATATGTCATGAATATGTCTAATGGGTCAGAGCAAATCTGATGTCTTTCCAGCCCTCTGCTACATCACTTCGAGTGGAGCCACACCCTCTGGACACCCCACCCCTGCCAGGCCAGGCCCTTGCCTGCCGAGAGTGGCAGCAGCCTGCCAGAAGAGGGAGGTGTCTCTCTCCAGAGTCAGATTCTTGGTCTGTGTCTTTCCAATCTCCAGCCCCAAGTGACCCCATTTCTTTAGCAAGCCAAGCACAGGAGGAAAAGAATCCCTTCCTTCCCACCATCCAGGCATTTGGCAGGAGGCTACAGTTCACTTGAGAGAATGAAGTGGCTGCGGTGGCTGGTGGCCAGGCTTTGGAGGAGGCCTTTGAGACTCAGGCTGGGACTAGAGTTGGAAAGGGTGAGTTTTGATGCTCCCCTAGAACATTCACCTATGGCCCCAGCTTCCCTGGGGCCCAAGTCAAGTAGTCACAGCTGCCGTCTAGTGGTAACTTGCAGTGCCACCAATTGCATCAATGGGTCTTTCTTGAGTTCTCTTGCCCACCTGTCTGGTCTGACCGCCACTGACAGCTTGCATCCTTTGGCATCTCGGCATCTTCTCTGAAGTCCCATCAGGTGATTAATTCATTCATTCTCTCTCTCTCTCTCTCTCCCCCAGCCCTTCCCTTCTCTCCCTCCCTTTTTCTCTTTCTCATAGATGCATTTGTCCAGAGCAAGACAAGAACAAGATACACTTTGACAGCTCTCTGTCAAGATCCTTGCCCCAAATCTCCAGAGAAGCAGCCAGGAGTCTCCATGCTGTTCTGAAGAAGCAGATTCCCTACCCACCCTTCAATCCTTCCCAGGAGGTCATCTTCCTCAAAACCTCTGGAAGATACACCTCCTCTTCTGTAATAGAGGTTGAGGGGTGATGTCCCCCTAGGTCCCCAATAAAGCTATACAAGACAGGGGCAATGGATCTCACGGCATGTTCTTGCTATAAAAAGCCCTTTTTTGGAAAAAATAATAAAGAAAGGAATCAGCCAATCCCTCCTCGATGCCATCACCTCTTCTTGGTGATTTTTCAGGGAAGGAGTGGGCGGGTTGCCATGGCAACAGAGGGAGCTCGGCTCAGTAAAGAAGGGACCTTGGTATTTTTTTCTCTCTCATTCTCTCAGTTGTGTCTGTGTGCCTGTGTGTGGTGCGTGTCTGTGTGCATGTGCGTGCTACGCATGCCTGTGCCCACACCAGGAATTTTTTTTTTTTAGAACTAAAGAAAGCCCTTCTCTTCTCTCAGCTCCCCAAATATGGAGTGATAGAAAACTCCTTACTCCTGCAGGCCAGGGAGGATTCAGGATGGCTCAAGAGAGAAGGGAGAGGTCACACAGGGCTCCTGGCCTCCACGTTTTTACTAGAGATTGTGTGCAACAAAGAGACCTTTGCAAATGGTGCCCAGGGGCTTGAAAGAGGGGAAGATGCTGGGTGGAGAGAAGTGAGCAAGGATAGATGGTGCAAGAGCTTCACAAGTGACATCAGAGAGGGCAACAGAAGGCATATCGCACCTGGGGAAGCATGCAGATCCACGCACACCATCAGGTGCTGAGAGAGAAAGGCCTAGGGCAGACTCCGATATGGACACAAACACACACAGAGAGGCACACACAAAGTTGTAGACACAAATACTTACAGGCACAAACATAGAACTACACACAACACAGGAAGTTGAAGACATTTTTTTAAAAGACAGGCATAGTTCCAGGCATTGGCAAATACATAGATATACACGATACAGACACATACCTACAAAAACACATGCAGACAGGTACATGGGTACAGACATACAAACATGTTCAGGGTCAGGCTAAGATGCAGACAAACAGTGACATAAAACACAGTCACAGTCTCTCTCTCTTTCACACACACGTGCACACACGTGCACACACATGTACAGAGTTCAGCTCCCTCCCTTCAATTGCTCAAACATCCTGAGCAGTACTGCACAGCTAGAAATGCTGCACGCTCACCCAGTAGGTTTGGCTGGGAGACTCCTGCTCCCCCCCATTCCTTCTACACGCTCCCCCAAAGCCCCTCTCCCAATTCACTCCCTTACCCACTTTCCCGTAGCTGACAGGCTCTGATGCCTCCCCCATCTCAGCTCCCAATTCTTAGCCCGTTCTTGCTGTTGCTGCCTGCCGCTGGGGGAGGGGGAGGGGTGACTCAGCCAGGCCAGGATGACTCACACTGCCAGTATTTTTAGCAGCAGCCAGGAGCTCTCTAGCGTGCCAGCCGCCCCCCTCCTCCTGCTTGCTATTTCGGAACCGTCACTGGTGATATAAATAGCTCCTCTCCCACGGCCTGAAGCTGCTGCCAAGCTATTTTTGGTTCTGCACAGTTAAAAATAGCCTCACAGAGGTGGGAGGCAAGGGGAGTGGGAGCTGGCCTAGGGAGAGGAGACATTGGGGCATACAGAGATTCTCAACTTGAATCAGAGTGGGCGAAGTAGGATGAGCCCTTCTCTATCCCCTCCCTTGTCCCCTTCTAGACCCTTCTTCCCTTCCAAAGTGCCTTCACCCCAGTTCAGTCCCCTGGAAAAATCCAAAGGTTCTTCCCTTGAGGCCAGTTCTCGTTCCTGGTTTACTTCACTCCTAGAGCTCAGGAATCTTGGCCCCCTGCAACTCCCCACTTTCATCCTCAGAGAAGGAGACAGCCAAAGGGTGGGAGTGGGGGGCTCGCCTTGAGGTCTGGGTGGACCCAAGCCCTGCTTTGATATTCAGGCAGATCCTGGCCAATCTGACTTGCACGGGGATCGTTTCAGCACCACGGACAGCGGCCGGTCAAGGCCCCATTCTTCCGCTCTGGATCTGCTCAGATTGCTGGAAACTGGCGGGACCCAGACAACACATACACCCCTCTTACTGTGCAGGGGGGACACCAAGAATATCTCCCAGCCAGGGCCCAAAGCACCAGTGGGTGGCGAAAATAGGAACACTGCCCTGGATTTTCATAAGGGAAAGGGGTCCAAAGCTCAAGAGTTTGTTCAAAAGGAAGCTGGAAGGAGAGGAGGGTGGGTAAACCAAGGGTCAGATGGGGACGAAAGATGCAACAGAGACCTACGTCCTGAAGGAACCATCTCTCTGTCATCCAGATCGATAGAGACGGTGGCAGACAGACACACACACCATTCCCTCCATCTTGGTTGTGCCATAGACCACCGGATGGTTTATGTGGATGGCCCCAACCTGTGCCCAAATGGCATGAGACATCAGGACAGGGCCTCCACGGCCATGTGCCCCTCTTCTAAGACACGCTTCTCCTCGGCTGCCCCTTCTCCCCCTCTGCCTTTCTTGCAACCACTCTTTTTCATGAGGAATGGGGAATTCCTCGACCCCCAACTTTTCTTCTTGATGATGTCAAAGTTCATCTCCACCCTTTCTGTGTGACTTTCTACAATCGGACCAGTCCCTTTTGCCCCAATTTTAAGTGGCCTCATTTCCAGCCCCTCAAGTTCTTCCACACCCACCCCTACTCCACCAAATGAGATTTCAGATAAAAATGCTCCCTAGCCCACTCCCTTCTCCCTTTATGAGACCCTGCGGTAAGAAAGGCGACCCCTTTCCCCTGTAGAGAGCAATAATCCGTGGTGCAAAGAGAAAGAAGAAAGGGGGAGATGGGGCAAAGGCGACACGATGTGGAGACGAGTCTGACGAAAGGAGGAAGGGGGGGCACAACAGGAGGGGAACCTTCGGGGGTCAGGGGGCGCCCACAGCTGCGACAGACAGCCGAGCACCAGTGAGATAAAGAAACCAGTGGGGGGAGCGGAGAGGGGACGGTGCAGAGACGGAGCAACGAGTCTTGGCGCCGAAGATGGGGAGGGGGCTGGAGGGAGGTGCGGAGGAGGGGCTGACGGAGACCGGGGGTCACGGGGGTCCAGCACGACCTCCTCGCTTTCCTGCTGCCTCCCCGTCTTCCCCGCCGAGGCGCTGGGGCGGGCTGGAGCCTCCGGAGCGGCGCGGAGACAGCCGGGCCCCGCCCGCCCTCCGCC